GTTATGTTTATAGACGCTGTAGACTTATTTCCAATTATATAACAAATAGAAGGCTTGATAAAATGTTTTTGTCGTCAGTTTCTATAAAATAAGTCCAAATAGTAGATCTTCTGCCAGTCATTTTTATCATATAATTACCAATTTTCACTGAGAATAACACAACGAAATACTTTTTTCTCACAAAAATTTTGTAAACATAAGCTTGTGCCGGCAATTTGCCCAGTACTAGATGATCCAATAATATGCCAGGTGTGGCGGGGGAGCGAGGGGCAGGGTCCGGCACTAATCCCGCGCGCTTTAAATTAACAAGTTTCGACATAAATTGGTTAGGTACCGAGGTGATCCTGCCGAACAATGTTCGGCCGAATATTCGGTTTGGTAAAAGTTTTACTGAACATTCGGTCCAGAGTTCGTATTTGGTGAAATCCATATTCGGCCCATCCCTATTTATTTCTACTCCATAAGAATTCTCCATGCTACATAATATTTTCCTTTGCCGTCTTTTATGCTTTTTCTATGAAGCATCAATATCATTCCATTGAATGAAAACATAACTGCCAGGCAGCTGACATTGGCGGTTAATTATTATACCATGTGTAAAAAATCCTATTCTATCTGTAAGGGTGCCTATAGCTCTGATGATTCTGCTGGCCACCCTCATGTAACAAATCATCACACATTCAAAGATAATATTGCCAACATTAGTATTTCTCAATTAAACAAATTTTCCGAAACTTCATAACATTGTTATAAAAAACAGAAATTGAATTAAAATTTGTTATAAAAAAGAATTATAGTAATATATCCTTTAATGGTTCAATCTTGTAAAGTTATTTAGAAGTTATGCAGTCATTAACAGGCGCACAAACAATAATAACATAAGGAAATGGATTCTAAGTCTTAGAATGCATCCTCTTTTCCTTTAATTTCCAAACAGTCCAGGCTGAAACAGTACAATGGATATTGAATGGTATTTTCTGTGATTTACCTCTTTTCTTTGTTATTTTCATTTCTTTTTAATAATTACAGGTACTTGAAGTGAGATCTGAAAATCTTAAACATCAAAATAATCGAAGGGAACAATTTTCAAGTGTAGCACCTGTTGTTAAAGAGGTACCATCATTACTGCAACCAGATGAAGTTAGTATAGACTTAGGTGAAGCTTCCAGTTTGCAAACTCAGCAGTTTGCGTTGCGAGATGATACAGACTCATATGTCCAGCAAAGAGCAGAGACTATGCACAACATAGAAAGTACTATTGTTGAATTGGGAGGTATCTTCCAACAATTGGCTCATATGGTGAAAGAGCAAGATGAAGCAATAGGAAGAATTGATGCAAACATTCAAGAAGCTGAAATGAATGTTGAAGCAGGCCACCGAGAAATATTGAAATATTTTCAAAATGTCACTGGTAATAGAGCTCTTATGTTTAAAGTATTTGGGGTATTGATTTTCTTCTTTATATTCTTTGTTGTATTTATGGCTTGAACTGTTGGTGGTCAATAGGAATTAAAAAGCTATTTTAAATATTTAATTTAATGATTTTATTGCAAATATTAAAAACATTTAAACTGGAGCAAGAGCAAATACAAATATAATTGGCAAACAATTGTAGAATTATATTGTCCGTTTCATGCATGGTTACCATGATCAAGGAACATTGCAGTTTTCATATAGCCTATAGAATTATATACAAAAACATGTGGAACTTGTTACTATAACAAGCTATTTGTTAGATGTATAATGAAGACATAGAACTAATAGGTGATAGAGCTTAACGGAATGGACTGTTAAGCAAATGTATGGAAATATTATTGTAAGGTGTATTTAAAATTTTTTAATTGCCAAAAAGCTATCAAAGTTGCAGTGTTCTTTATTTCATTGCCATTTTTGATATTTTACGTTGAGAGTATTGATTTTAGTATAAAAAGTGTTTATTCCATAATAGTGATATGTGTTGAGTGGATTTCACAACTACTTCAACCATGGAATAATCATGTTTTAAACATTATTTTCTGCACTTGCATTATATAGGTTTATACTTCTTGCATATTAAATACATGTTATTTAATCCATTTATTATCATAGCCGTATCCATAACTTTTGTTTAAATTTAATAGTTAACTATTTACTATACTTCGAAAGAAAACGAAAAATAAATGTATAGTCTAAGGTCTAAAATAACTTTAAACTTCTTCATCAACTTTACTGGTCTGCTACCAAATGTAAAGTATTTTTTATCAAACATTGGTTCAAAAAAAGTAATTGTTCTAAACGAAATATGTATATAAAGAAGTTTTAAAATAACTTTATAACAATTAATAAAGTTAGAGCATTATAAATTGCGGTTATAATTATCATAATTAAGTAATTAAGTAAGTGCATGCTGATGTTTCAGGTCTCTTGTTCTTTTCACTTAACATGCCGAACACAGCAGTGCACAGTTGTTATTTTATCCTGGCATTCTTCGAGAGTGTGGTTGTTTCCTGGTTTACCCGACCCATATAAATATTAAATGTAAAACATATAAAATGTATTTCATATGGCAACCCATCCGCGATGTATTTGTTTACGTGTTTGATAAAAAAACTTTTCACCCAGTAAGCAGATAAGTCAACACTAAATCAGATCCAGAGCATATAGACACTGTTCAGGTCATATGAGTGGATGAGGTCAAAAAGTTGTGTAACACTGCAATATCATCTATTAATTTCGTTCATCAGAACATATAGTACTTTTTACCTACCAATATCAAATGTTTGAATATACCAGGCATTAAAATAATCATGCAATATTTTCATTGTTGTGATATGTTAGTGCAGAGAAACTATGAATTACTTGGTGTGATTTGGGATAAACATTTGATAACAAGAACGAGATTTAGCTAAAGTACTTGCTTTCATTGTTATGGATGATTCAGATCTGAAGGAGAAAGTCTTTATGTATTCAAAACAAATTTTCTAAAAGTGCGTGGGTCTTGCAGCTGTCTTATTTTGGACTGAGTTTTATACATCTGCTCATGTTACGGTACGAATCTTTGTTTGTGTTATGAAGCTAATTAAGAATGTTCTAGTTTTTCAATATAGAAATTGACAAGCTCTAAGTTCTAATGAATACAAATATGCACAATACATTTATTTAACGCGCTATCGGCTCAGTTTGCGTCAAACGTCATGACTCATGACCCACGCTTGTTATGTGATATAACACCTACATAGAAATTTTATCATATTTTTAAATGATAATAATCGCAGAATTTAAGTTTGACATTAATTTATCGCAGCCTAAGTTTGTCCCTGGAGCTCATTCTTTTCTTGAGATACATATTTTGTATCACAATCGTTATCGGCGTAGCATACCGTAGAGTCCCCTAACATCGGCTGCTTTTCACCGTTTTTTTTTCAAATTTACCGCCAAATGAGTACCAAGAAATCTATTATACCTGACAGAAACCGCCATGTGTGTGTGAAATTTTAGGTAAGTACTGTATAATTTACGCACACTAATGTCCTTTAAAGAAGTAGACGAAGTTAAGGTGCAATTCCAAACTTCATCTGTGCATATAAAATTAATATTCAATATTAGTCTATTTTTATAAAAAAAATATATGTATATAAAATATTATTTAAAAATTCAAAGACAATATCGCAATGACAATTAAATGCGATTTTATATTTTTTATTTAAGTAGAATATCGAAGTTTCACACATAAAAATGCTCGGAAATAAAAATTCAAAAGTCTAAAGAGAAGTCAAGGTGACTTTTGTTGATATTGCCAAATTCATAATGAAGGCTCGTAAATGATCAGTCTCAAGGTTCGACGATACTTTAAAAAAAATTGTTTTCCCTACAAACGCAAGCCTATTATTATATGCTATATATGCAAGCTATATTTTGCGATTTTATCAAAAAGTGTTATCGATATGTGATGCAAAAGTTACTGCAAAAGTGCTTAGGTACCAAGCCTCCAATATGAATTTGTCATTCAAAATGCTCGGAAATAAAAATTCTAATGTTCAAGTCAAATATTTAATCATAGCGTTCAAAATTAACAAAACAAAAAACAATTACTTATGTTTTTAACATCAATTCACCTTTGTGTGACAATGTTTATCAATTATTTTATTATAGTTGAAATACTACTCATACAAAATTTCTAAGGTACCTAATTAAAATCATTGACTTTCTTTGTGTAGGAAAAGATTATAAAATATTGTAGTTTTTTAAATTGGAAATGTTAAAATATCCCTTATATTATTGGGTTTGATAAAACTTTTTCAACATCCGTTATAAAAATTAAAGATATATCATCGTTAATGGGCAATGCAATTTTTCCTTTGACCTTGTGCCGTAAAAACTTCATCTTAAAACTATTTAGCCCAGTGACATCCATCACTTTTCCAACGTAAAATTTGTTTCTCTTCTGTACATTAAACTTTACTAAAACATAGGAATTGACATCAATTTTGCTGTCTTTGTCTTCGACATCCTACTGTACGTAGTTGGTGTCATTCTTTTTGTCCTCTTCTATAAAGTTTGACCCACAACAGCTACTGTCATGAACTGTATAGTTCTCTTCATCAGAACTTCCTGTAACAAACAGACGAATCTTTGCAGGTGTTACAACTCTTTTGGCAACTACTTAGTAATATCTTTATTCAATATATCATCGTCACAAACAGTACTTTTCTGTGGCGTATAATAAGAGATTTGTACTGATGTTTATTGTGTGCTGCAGTCATTTTGAATTGTATTATTGGTGGTGACCATAATATTCGATGTAATCAAAACTATTTTTTTTTCCGGAGACAGTGGTTGTAAAGTTGTCTTTGTTTTCTTGTATACTGGTATATCTTCATTAGTAAATGGTTGTTTTTTCTTTCCCCTTTTATTCGTCACTTCAAAGTCGAGATTCACAGTGAACTCTAAATCTTTAGAGGAAATAGATTCATTTAGTTGACCAGGTTCTTCTTTATTTTATTGTTCCTGCCTTTTTTTCCTTACGGTTTGTTGGCTGGTAATCTCAACTCTTTTAGATAGTCAAGTTTAGCTTGGTAATCGCCATAATCCGCAGCTTCTTTATAATCAGGCAGCTTCTTTAGAACCTTTTCCGGGTTAAGCGGGTAAATTCCAGTGGGAGCAAAAGTGCTGACAACATTATTTTCTTATCAACAATTTTTCTCTCAATTGTTTTAATAATATTGTAAAATGAAATTTGTTTAATCCTTTATCTGCGGGATATTGCATTTTGTATCTGAGTAGTATCTCACGCCATAGTTCCTTAAGATAGATATAGACACTTGCATCTGGTGGTTGTGTTATGTGGGTAGAACTAGTTGGCAACAGCACAAAACGAATATCAGTTTGTTCACAGAGTGTACCTCGGTTAATATATATCGGTATCACATATTAACATGTGATTACCGATTGTCCCCTATAATAATTTTGGGCCCTGAGAAAATTTTTGCCCACGGTATTACTAGTTTGGTAAACCAATCTTCAAATAATGCATTGTCGAACCAACCAGACTTTGAACTGCTATAAAGAGTCTGAGGAGGTCCTCCAAATATCCACTGAGTCAGCATTTTGTTTGCTTTATATACGACATATTCTAGTAGCAAATTTCCGCTGGCAATCGCTGCGGACATAATAGATATGCAACCCTTTGTATGGTTCTTTATACGCTCTGCGTATTTTGCTCCACTTTTAACAATACATTTTGCTTTTCCCGGATTGTCCGAAAGATTAGTTTCATCGTAGTTGAGAATATTCTCTTTCGGTATTTATTCTAGAGTGGCTCTAAGAATATTAAAATATTTACGCAACTCTTCGCAAGACTTCTCTGCTTTTTTATATTTGTGTTCACACGTAATGACAACTGGTGACGGTGACGTTTTAGGAAACCGTAAGCTCATTTTCGCCCAGGCAATTTTCCGTTGAAGATGTCCCTGTTATTCTTTTTAAGGTAGTTATGCACCATCGCTCGAAGATATAATAGTTTCAGTGGACTTACATACTCTGCTGCAGTAATAAGAGCTTTAATGAGCTGATTTTCTTCCTGTGCAGTCAGTCTTGTGGGACACCCAACTGCCTTTCCGTGTTTTCTATTTAACTTATCTAGCAAAGTGCTTCTTGGTTTCCCAAAACACTTCTGTTGAATGATGAAAAAAAAAAGAAAAAACAACAAATGTCTACCTACGAAACACGTAGGAAGACAGTTGTTTTTTTTTTTCAGACATTCTAATGCCAAATTCGCCATATCTTGGCTATGACCCACTGTATATGGTCTTTTCTTCTTTTTAACGGATTTAGGCTTCTCCATAACTTCGGTTCTTTACTACCTGCAAATAATAAAAATAACACGCTTTTTGAAAATATTTCAGACTATTTATTATATACATACGTAACATATATTTTTCCTGGAGCAATATACATGACACCAACAAAAAAAATATAATCAGGCATGATGACCTCAAATGCACAAGTATCAACTAAATAAACATTGTAAGTATCAAAGATTAAGTATAAACGTTAGTGTCGCACCGAAAAGAGCACAGCTCTACTTAGTTTTTCTTCTTTTTATGTAAAAACTGAAAAATGATTTTTTCTGTGGCAATAATTAATTATTAACGACAATAGTTCAGCATATTATTAGGTTTTTAAAGCATCAGTTTAAAATTTAATGCACAATTTGTTATGATCTTGATCAAACAAATTTAAAACAGCATTTTAAGTTTGTTATGACAAGATCACGACAAATTGTGTTTAAAATCGCAAACTGTTGCTTTATAAACCTTACAATATTTTTTTATATAAAATAGGATGACAAACGAGCACACAGTCCACCTGATGGTAAGTGGTTGCTGCGGCCCATAGACATCTACATCTATCCTCGATTACGAATAAAAAGGCAGATGCGTTGTCACCCGTGAGGACTAAGATGGAATGCCTCGTTTCCAGTAAAAAGGGTCTCCAGTTATCTACACTCACCATACGAAATACAGCAGCATTAAGCTACTACTTCACGCTGGTGTTTTGTGAGTGCGTGGTCCTTCCACGGTCGAGCCGACCCATTCGTGCTACAACTATACAATTAATATAGCTGCAGCATGGCTCTACCACGTATATAAAACTATTGTCGTTAATTACATTAAAAACAAAGTTAAGTTGTGCACTTTTCAATGAAAGACTAATGTTTAACTTTAAATAAATAAAAATTTTGATGTGTTTTAAAAATAATATTATATAGTTGGCATTTTTAATTAATTTAAATTTCCTCCAAGCTTGCATATAGAAATATACAAACTGTTTAAATTAATGATAAAGCAAAATATATAGACCGGTGTTTACTAAATAAAAAATTACAACTAGAATAAAAGTTTTAACAACCCTAAGAGCAGACGAAGTTTGGAACATGTCACATTGAAAATTGTAACCTAACATTGTCTGCCCTGATATTTCTATCCTTAGTGAATACACCTGATTGAGCTACAAAAAAACTTACCTCCAAGGAGTTCTGAGCAATGAGACAAATTTTCGGGATCTGTCAACAAATAGCGCGCGCGCATTCCAACGTTTCTCACGGCTGTGACTGGCTGTGACTAAATGGCCGCTAATTATATATATTCCGCTATAAATTCTTGTATATACTTAATATACTCTTTGCCGCTAATATCGAATATGTTTTATGTTGGTAAATGTCCTTGCAATGTTGCCATGTTTAAATGGTTGTAATTCCCAACTAACTACAGACAGTGTGCTGATTTTTTTTTAAATTTTCGCCGAAGTTATGTCCACAAGTTGAAGTTAGGGGACTCTACGGTAATGTCTGTCTATATAAAATGTCTATTTGGAGATTAAATCAAAATATCAAAGCGCAAATAAATGAGGCAAAGCAACAAAGCAAAATATTAAAGCTAAGAAAAAGAATTATGAACACATTTACATTAATTCCAAGTGGAATAAAATAAATCTGGGCAATATTTTAAAATGTAAAATATAGCATTCGATCTAGAAAGGCACGGAAACGGGAGTTCAACATTTAGGTAATACAAATTACATAATTATTGTAAAATACAAACAACTGCATTTAAAATTATGTAATCTGTAAAGGTGGTTTGCGTATGATGCTGATTATCCTTTGAGTAACCTCACGGATGTAAAAGTAAACTATGTAAATTTTCTGATACTAATTACGGTAATATTGTGGATGATTATGGGTATTTGTAAAATAATTACTATAATTGGCTAAACAATGCCATAAATTATAGACATAATTGTCTATAATATTATTTTTCTTGATTGTATATAATGTGTAGTGTATATAAAAGTTATTCAATTTAGTCTGTTTTTATTTCAAACCTAATGCATTTAAAAATCATAATAATATTATATAATTGTCAAGATATTAATTGTTCTAGAGCTGAACAGTACAAATAAAACAGCTCATAAACAAGGATGGGCGCTTACCTAGGAAAGCGGCGAGCGGCCTTTCTCTACGGCCATGCGGGCACGATGATAATTGCGAATTGTTGTCGCCTTGCGGACACGACGAAATTTGTATTGCACTGGGGCGAACGGTGGCAGCCACAGATAATACCTACGTATATAAATGCAAGGATGTGCGTTGGAGCAACCATTGTTGATGAAACCCCGAGTTCCCTTCAAACTAGCTACCATCTCGAGACGGAGAGGCCGGCTCTGCCCTTTCTGACCGAGACGCAGGTGTCCTCTCCGGCTGATGTCTCGTATCTCCTACCCGGGGTACAAACTCAAACACTCCTTTGTGCCTCGAGCTGGAGTTTGCGTTTACATCAGAGAAGACATCTGTTCTCGACGCCTCGGCAGTCTTGAAGGTTCGGACTCCGTCTACGGGTGCCTCTATAGGTCCCATAGCGGTAATGCCGAAACAGACCGACTCTTCGACCACGTCCAAATGGCTACAGATACGTTGCTACAGCAGATCCCCCCCCGCAGAGATCGTGATCCTCGGTGATTTTAACGCCAATCACGCCGAATGGCTTGGTTCACGTTTAACCGATTATGCGGGGAGATCTGTTCATGATTTTGCCTTGGCATATGGTCTGACACAACTGGTTACTTCGCCTACGCGGATTCCAGATGTGGAGGATCATGCACTTCCCTGTTGGACCTTCTGCTGACCTCTCACCCGGACGGATATCAGATTTCGTCGACGCCCCTATAGGCTCCTCGGACCATTGTCTTGTCCGGAGTGTGGTGCCACTCTCGCTGAAATCGCAGTTGCATTCTGCAGGCTGCCGCCGTGTTTGGCACTATAGGTCAGCCGCTTGGGATGGGATGCGGTCTTTCTTTGCATCCTACCCTTGGGGGCGGGTTTGCTTCTCGCCGGACGATCCCAACGTTGTTGCGGATTCTGTCGCTGATGTGGTACTTCAGGATAAGGAACTTTTTATTCCTTCCTCTAGTGCCCATTGGAGGCAAATCTCAGCCATTGTTTGGTCGCTCTTATAAAATAGCATCATATTATAAGCAGGAGTGCTACCAAGCCTGGGCTGACGCATCAACGTCCAGGGATGTAAACACCAGCGCTCCAAAAAATAAGTATAATTCCGCCTCTAGGTCCTTCAAAAGAGTCATTGCCAAGGCAAAGTCAGAGCACATAGGCAGAATTGGCGAGAAACTAGTTCGCCTTCCTTCTGGAACCCGTGCATTCTGGTCTCTCGCCAAGGCTGTCCAGGGGAATTTCTGTCAGCCATCTCTTCCATCTCTGCACAGGGAGGACGACTCACTGGCCCATACCGCAAAGGAGAAAGCCGATCTGCTAGGCTCTTTCTTTGCATCCAACTCGACTCTTGATGAGACATCCACAAGTAGAGTGGGCCTGACGGAATCCCCCCAATTATGCTGAGGACGTGTGCTCCAGAGTTGGCACCGGTTTTAGCGCGTCTTTTCCGGTACTCCTACTCCCTAGGCGTAGTCCCAAAATCATGGAAGACGGCTTTCGTCCCACCGATCCCTAAAAAAGGCGACCGCTCAGACCCGTCCAACTACCTGCCTATCGCCATCACCTCCTTGTTCTCCAAAACAATGGAGTCTATTGTTAACTGCCAGCTCATGAGGTACCTTGAGGATCACCAGATGATTATTGATCGCCAATACGGTTTTCGCCGTGGTCGGTCAGCTGGTGATCTGGTCTACCTAACTCACAGATGGGCGGAGGGAGTAGAGTCCAAGGGGGAGGAATTGGCCGTTAATTTGGACATTGCGAAGGCCTTCGATCGGGTTTGACACAAAGGGCTTCTTTCGAAGCTCCCTTCCTATGGGCTTCCCGAGAAATTGTGCGATTGGATCACCTTTCAGCTTTCTTGCAGATCGGAGCATCAAGGTCGTTGTAGACGGTGCAAGCTCCGATTACAAGCCTATTAATGCTGATGTTCCACAAGGCTGCGTGCTATCGCCAACGCTGTTTCTTCTGCATATCAATGATATGTTGCAAACCCGTAACATTCATTGCTATGCAGGTGACAGCACTGGTGATGCTCTGTACACGGGCCGTGCCAATATTTCTAGGGAAAACGTCTCTGAGTACCGGGACAAACTTGTGTCTGAAGTCGAGTCTTTGCTGAACAGAGTCTTGGATTGGGGGCGACTAAATCTAGTCCAGTTTAACCCTTTAGAAGACACAAGTTTGCGCGTTAACCGCTAAAAAGAACCTCTTTGTCGTATCTCCTCAGTTTCTAGGCACTCCCCTTGTTGCCTCAGCCAGTATCGGTATCCTCGGCGTCGACATATCAAGTGACGTGCAGTATCGTGGTCACTTGGAAGAGAAGGCCAAATTGGCCTCTAAAAAGCTTGGCGTGCTCAGCAGAGCGACACAGTATTTCATGCCGGCACACCGTCTGGAACTTTACAAGGCGCAGGTTCGGCTGCACATGAAATACTGTACCCATCTCTGGGCTGGGGCTCCCCAGTACCAGCTCCTTCCACTTGACCGCATCCAGCGCAGAGCGGTCGGCAAATCGTCGACAAGTACTTTCCGATTGGCTCGATTCACTGGCGCTGCGAAGAGATGTTGCATCTCTTTGCATTTTCTTTCACATATACCAAGGGGAGTGCTCTGAGGAATTGTTCGGATTAATCAAAGCCACCAAATTTCGTGAATGCACTACGCGGCAAACGTCCCGATATCATCCACACCATCTCGATGCTTGGCGGTCCACCACTGTTCGTTTCAAAAGGAGTTATCTTCCGCGTACAACCTCTCTATGGAATAGTTTACCACCGGCGATTTTTCCGGACCGATACGACGTGGGGGGACCTTCAATAAAAGAGCTTACTCCTTTCTAACGGGCCGGCAACGCACCTGCAGTTCCCCTGGTGTTGCGGTTGATCATGGGCGGCGGTCACTTAGTCACTTAACATCAGGTGAGCCGCGCTGCATCGACAGATGTCACTACTATCATAAAATTAAGGATGTTTCTAAGTTTATTTCATTCCATGGATAACGCATAACATAAGATGTATGATGAGGACACGCAACGAAGCTCAAGTGAGAGCCCGGAAAACAAAACTTGCCCCACATAAGGATTATTATAGGGAACTAAAATCAATAGTTAATAAAGCGATAGTTTCAGAAAAGATTGCCTACTTCAAATTTTATATTAATTCAAAACTAAATCAACCTAAAATAATGTGGAAGCACATTAAACGCCAAGTTCAAATAAAAAGTAAGGATACTTCTTTGCCATCCCATTTCAGTGACCCTGATGCTTTAAACAATCATTTTCTTAATATTCCTGGTAAAAATGACGTCTCATTGTCTCTTCTCACTTTCTTTGAATTTAACGGCACTAATGATTACTCTTTTTATTTTAAAGAAGCCTCGGAGGATGAGGTGGTTAAAGTTATAAACTCTTTGCAGTCTAATGCAGTGGGGTGCGATGGCATTTCTCTTGATATGTTAAAGTTATTAGGTACCTAAAGATGTTATTACAGAAATAACATACATAATTAATAAATCTTTTGCGACAAATACCTATCCGGATCTCTGGCAAAAAGCCATCGTTAAACCTATACCAAAAACTAGTAACCCTGTTTGTATGTCGGATCTCAGGCCAATTAATATTCTACCGTGCCTTTCTAAAATAATAGAAAAGCTTGCATGTAATCAGCTAACAAAGTACCTTGAAGCAAATAACATCCTTCCTGAGCTGTAGTCTGGCTTTAGAAAGAAGCACAGCACTACCACAGCGCTTATAGAGGTCGTGGATGATATACTGACTGAACAAGCCAGTGGTGAGGGTACTATTTTAACATTACTTGATTTCTCGCGCGCCTTTGAAACCCTCAATATCCCATTACTTCTTTCAAAATTATATTTTTATGGTTTAAGCAGAAACGCGACCCAATGGTTTGCCAGTTACTTTAAAAATAGGTCACAGCAAGTTGAAATACAATTAAATGGAAAAGGTAAAGCTATTTCTGGGGAGCGCCCTGTGAACCGAGGAGAACCGCAAGGATCCATTTTAGGTCCATTACTTTTTATAATATATAGTGCGGACATTATTAAAAATATAGAGTATTGTAAGTACCACAAGTACGCTGACGACTTACAGATATCTATATCGTTTAAGCCTTGTGATGTTCAAGTAGCAGTGACAAAATTGAACTTGGATTTGGGACGGATATCTTTGTGGTCAGAGCGTAACGCATTGGTTCTCAATCCAAAAAAGTCGCAGTACCTTATTCTAGGATCGCCAAATCAAATAAAAAAGATCACACTAAGCCACCCTGCCATTATTGTAAACAACGAACCTATTGTGAGAGTCTCTGAAGTCAGAAATTTGGGGGTAAAAATGGACGACAAACTTCGTTTTGAGAAACATGTAATGGATATTGCACGTAACTGCTTTTATAGGTTGAAAGTACTTTATCGTATTCGTGAGTACCTAAGTGTCACCTTACGTATACATCTCTGCGAGTCTATCGTGCTTTCAAAATTCAATTACGCGAATTCTCTCATAGGCCCACGACTATTATCTCGAACACAGCAAATAATACAGCGGGTACAGAATGCCTGTGCACGCTTTTGTTTCAATGTTCCACCACGTGCACATGTAACCCCTTTCATTAATAACGCTAATATTTTAAAAATGGATTGTCGCAGGCGACTACACTTTGCCTCACTTTTGTTTGGAATTATTAAAAATAAAGAACCTTTATATTTATATAATAAGTTGATTTGGTCTAAAGATCAAAATAAGCAGTATAATACCAGATCATCCAATTACAAGTTAGTATATCCTTTCTACCGGTCGGCCGCTTTCAGAGGTAGTTTTAAATATAATGCCACTAAATGTTGGAATAACCTCCCGCCTCCACTGCGTGACCCGAAAACAATTAGTGGGTTTAAAATCAAATACAGGTTACACTTACTTTCGGAACAAAAAAATACCGATCTATAAAATAAACTGGTAGGAGGTTAAATTCTTTCAACACGTCAGTAATCTCAGTCCCATAAATTATGTAGATATTTTAATTTTCACTTTATATAATATATAAAACTATTTTATTTAAATATTTATATAATAAATTTACTTTTTCTGACAATCATTTTCGTACCTTTATTCTTTAGCCAACGTTTATTCCGCATTCTTAATAAATAAAATTGATATATTTAGAAGGAAAACGTTAATTCTATTTTGTACTTACCTTCATTAGACTAATGATATCCACTATTTATGTGAATAAAAATTTAAAAACACATATTTTTTTATATATTCCGCGTCGCATTATAGCATGTGCATTGAGGCAGCCGTCCGAGTCATAGACTAATATATAATACTGGAGAGTCCGAGTTACGTCGGAGTGCGGGCCGGACTGAAAACCAGTGTCGGGATCAGAGCAATTCGTGTTTCTGTATCTCGATTTTAACTGAGTCCTGTCCATTTCATGGTCTTATGCTGCTACACAGACTCATTTTATATTATTTTAACATTTTTGTTAATTTACGGAAATATTGTTTTATTTTCTGTTTCATTCCAATTTCTTGCTTTGTTTTGTATCTATTGTGATTAGACCGTGAATAAATGTTTTTTCTTTCTTTCTTCTTTCTATTTTCTAATCTATAAAAAGTTTTAGTAAGTATTAGTTTTTTTGTCTATAAATAAACTGATAATTACATCTGGGTAACAGGCGTGAGTGTTTATGTATATGTAATTGCAATTAGTATGTACAAAACTCTTATTATCCTTGTAATAGGTGTTAGGGTTCACTTTCGTTTGTAAGAGTTTGTGCTCACAGAAAGACGTGTTTACTACGTGATGATTTATTTGCGACTGTTTTACAAATTATGCCTTTAAATATTGAACCTATTCACACATGCATACGTATTCACAGTTACGCTCACTCTTACACTCATATAGATCATTATATCCGAACATACCGCCCACCAAAGGGCCTATGAGCCCTTTAACATTTATTACACGTTACAACGTTTTGATTACAATAGACTCAAAGATAACACAAAGAAAAAATAAAGACACAAAATCTGTACACAATTAAACACATAAAATATAAATAAACACAATTTTCCTTAGTTATAAGTAAAATAAATCATGATTCAATGTCTATTGGTTAGTAACACAGCTTATTTACAGATCTTTGCACGACACTAGCACCACTTTTTACACTGTATACACGAGTGACACCGTCAGAACCCGGATGTTTTTTTACAATGCGTCCCATCATCCATTTACCTGGGGGCAAACTATTTGATTTTATGAGGACAATGTGACCCATGTCAAATTCCTTGACCTTCCTTTGCCATTTCGGACACTGTTGCATTCTCAACAGGTATTCTTGTTGCCATCGACGCCAAAAGTCCATCAACAATCTTTGTTGGTACTGCCATCTTGATAAGTGACTTGTTGGGATGTTTTGGAAGTCTGGTGTCGGAACCGTAATAGGTGTCTCACCGACAAGGAAATGGCCAGGCGTTAACGGTTGGATGTTGTCTGTGTCCGTGTCTCTTAATATGTTAAGCGGTCGTGAGTTGAGGCAAGCTTCAATTTGACATAACAAGGTGCTCATCTCTTCGTACGTTACGTGAGAGGTCATTATTCGTTTCAAATGGTTTTTCATCGATTTGATTCCGGCTTCCCACAGTCCACCCATGTGTGGGCTATAGGCGGGAATGAAATGCCACTCAGTTCCATCCATTGCTAGCATCTCAGCAATTGGACCGTCGAATTTAAGTTTGGCTTCAGCCCATTCTGCAGCTAGTATCCTGTTCGCCCCAACAAAATTACGTCCTTGGTCACTCCAGACGTGAGCGCATCTTCCACGTCTAGCTACGAACCTTCTGAAGGCTCCGATGAAGGCATCTGAGGTACGATCTCCCACTAATTCTAAGTGAATCGCCTTCGTCGACATACAGACAAAGAGAGCAACGTATGCTTTGTTTGTCCTTGCTTTTCTTCCTCTAGACATCAAGATATGAAACGGGCCAGCAAAATCCATGCCCGTATTTAAGAAGGGTTTAGCTGGTGTAACTCGAACTCGAGGTAAGTCCCCCATTAGTTGCGACCTTGCTGTGGCGTTAAGTTTTGCACAAATGAGACATTTTATTATCCTTAATTTTACTAATATTCTAGCTCTTAGGATCCAGAATCTTGTTCGCAGAAAGCAGAGCATTACTTGAACTCCACCGTGTAGCGTTTTAGAGTGTGCATCAGCGACGAGAAGAGAGGTAAGATAGGTGTCATGATCAAGGATAATTGGATTTTTGCTGTCTTCATTTAGGTCTGAGTGACGGAGTCGGCCGCCCACCCTGAGGATATTATCATCGTCCAGGTAAGGTTTTAAACTCTTTAGTTTACTGGCTCTTTTAATGTGTTCCTTTGATTTCAGGTGCTGTATTTCCTCTTCGAAGCTGTCCCTCTGAGTTATTTTTATGCATGTTTTAAGCGCATCATTAATTTCCGTCGTGGTCACAGGTAAGTCTTTGTATTCCATTTTCTTTCCCTTTAAGAATCTTTTAGAATATATAATCACCTTAAGCAATTCTTGCAACTTGTCACAATCCTCAAATTTTGTACTAATACTCTTCTCTTTGTCTAATTTCAAATTTACATGTATTGATTTCTTTCTTTCCAGGTCTGTCCAGATTGTATTTGGTCTGCTGTATTGGATTTCCCCTACTCTCAGCCACTCTGGGCCCTTCCACCACAATTCATCATTTTTTAGCTCTTGCAATGATTGCCCTCGTGAAGCGGAGTCAGCTGGGTTTTCTGGCGATTTGACATGTTACCAATTATGATTGCCGATTGTGTCAAGTATTTCAACAACCCTGTTTCTCACATAAGTGCTCCATCTTGCAGGATCACCAAACAACCACTAGAGTACAATGGTTGAGTCAGTCCAAGCAAATATCGCTGGTTTGGAAGAATAGCGTATTATTACAAATACTACAAAATTAAGTTTTCAACAACATTCAACGTAAAGTGATCTGTTTTGTATACACAATTAAGATCATATTTCTATAACAACATTTACGGCCGTGGCGCCACCGAAAGACTGTATACTATTGGTCAATTTTGGCAGCCAGTTTTTATAGACAGCGTTGTATCGCCAGTTGCAACTTGTCCTTAGAAGTAAACACTCGGTTGGTTTTCTGAAATATGGTCATATTACAAAATAATACAAATTTTGAGTGCGCATTTATCTAGAACACTGCATTACTTCGAGATGTGACATTATTGTTTAAAAAAATCTACAAGAACCTTTAGACACTTCTCATAAACAAAGTATCATTTGGGATTACTACGTTGTTCTACAAAAAGTAAGTATAACTTAAATGTATTAAAATTAGATGTTATTGTTTATAATAAAAAATACGGTCGATAGTATTTGTACAATTAAAATTAAAACGTTTTTCTAGATAAATTATTTCGTGATTGTAATAGAATTTTTCGTAATAAGGCTTTATCTGTTCAACAATCTGTCGTATTTTTGTACTTGACACAGTATTTCAGATAAAAAGCAACTCGACAACGCATTTAATTTTTCTAAAATGTCAGATACGAGTACCTACCTAACTAATAGTAATGAGCTTACAGAACCTAATATTTTAGTAGGTACCTAGTATTCTTTTTACCTATCGACTCTACTATTCTAGGTAGCTATAACCTAGGTACCTAGATTCTACTACTACGGTACTTAGGTACTTTATAAAGAGTAGGTATTCTAGGTAGGTACGTAGATAGGTACCTATACCTAGAATCTAGGTCCGATAGGAATCAGAATCAGATAATTGTGTGAAAGTGCGGGTATATACCTACCTAACTTTTAATTGTTTTTATTTTTTATTTTAGTGGCAAACCGACGGACACTAAAGCTGTTCCGGAACATCAATGACCCGTTGAGTATCAAGGGAATAAAAGAAGTGGTACGTACTTTTACATGAAGTATAGGTAGTTGGATTTTTTGATTTTATAATAATAATAATATTTATTACCAATTACTATCGATAAGAATATTAATTTAAACTTTTTGATTCATGTTTCATTGGATACTTTTTCCTTTCATGTTTTGTTTATGTTACAGGACAATCAAGCAGAGGACAGAATAGGTCAAACGGAACGCGCGATACTATCTCCTTTACCGTCTGAAAACAACAAGCTTCCAGATGCAGAAGATCCGCTAAACCAGGAAGTACATGACTATTGTTCAGATGACAGCGTTAAGGACCCAAATTACGTAAATACTGATGACTATTATTCCGATTCTGATCATAGTGACTTCAATAGTAAGAAACGCGTAAAGCGATTTAAAAGAAATAAGTTTGCTGAAAACATCGATCCCATGCTTTCAGTTGCGACTAAAAATTCAAGTTCAAGTCAAATTAGTACGCCCAATTCTCACCAAAAAATTGATTATTCAAACAAGCCCAAACCAGGTCCTTCAAAAATATCGTATATACCACCGAGTAGTTCATCTAGTTCAAGCTCTTCTTCGAACTCTTCTGACAGTTCATCATCGTCTAGCGATTCTTCAGACACGGAAGAGGATGTAAAAAGAGTTGAGGAACAAGTTACAGAACCAGATACAGAAAAAAATACAGAAATGTATAGAGAACCAGATAGAGAACAAGATTTAGAACAAGTTACAGAACAAGAAATAGAAAAAAATACAGAACAGGATATAGAAATGGATAGAGAACCAGAGAGAGAACAAGTTACAGAACAAGAAACAGAAAAAGGTACAGAAAAAGATACAGAAAAAAATACAGAGCCTTCGAAAAAAATTAGACGTAAACGCAAGGCAAACCCTAAGAACTGGATATCTGTAAGAGCAAAAATTTTAAGAAATCATGGCAAATCGTACGTGAATAAAAAAACAAAGAAATTCCCGAGAGACAATTGAAAACTCCATGCGGAGATAAATGCAAATTTAAGGGTAAGGAAAACATTACAGAATTACAGAGAAAAATGATATTTCAAAACTACTTGGATATGGGGGACTTGGAACGGCAGCGAGAATATATTATTATGCGACATATTTCCGTTATCAAACCGAGGTACTCGTACAAAGTACACAACAGTAATCGAGGAAATAATTTTGCTTTTTATCTTTCAATAGGGGATAATAAACTTCGAGTTTGTAAAACTTATTTCAAAGCCACTCTTGATATTAACGGCAGGGTTATTAAGACTGTTAACGATAAAACGTCAGACATGGCTATTTTAAAGCAAGATCGTCGAGGCAAACGCGAGAACCATGCTCATCTTGATCCTTTGGTAAAAGATAGCATAAGAAAACACTTAGATTCTATCCCGAAAGTTGATAGTCATTACTGTACAGCAGACACCAAGCGAACATACATTGAAGGCGGCAAGACTGTAGCTGATTTACATAGAGACTATGTTGCTGAATGTAAAAGTAAAGGTTTACCTTTTGGTAATTATCTAGCATATTACAATATATTTTGTACCGAATACAATATGGCATTCTTCAAACCTAAAAAAGACCAATGCGAAACCTGTACAAATTATACTAATGCGACTGAAGAAGACAAACAAATTAAGAAACATGATTATGAACTTCACCTAAAGGAAAAACAACTAGCAAGGGATCAAAGAGATGAGGACAAAAACTACACTCCGGACAATTGTATAGTATCCGTTTATGATCTACAAGCTGCAATGTCTTTTCCTAAAGGTGATACGTCGACATTTTATTACCTATTCAAGTTGAACTGCTTTAATTTTACTATTTATGATATTAAAACCAAAGATGTGAACTGTTACGTATGGCACGAAGGCGAAGCTAAACGTGGAGCTGTTGAAATTGGTACCTGTGTACTAAAATACATTAAAGGCCTGAAAGAGACCGCCAAAAAACTTGATTCAAAATTGGATTTGATATTTTACTCAGCTAATTGCTGCGGACAGCAGAAAAATCATTATTTGTTCGCAGTATACATTTTTGCTGTGCATAATTATGATTTTATAAATTCTATTTGTCATAAATTCCTCATAAAGGGTCATACACAAAATGAGGGTGATAGTGTTCACTCTGTTATTGAGCGTCAAATCCAAAGAAGCCTCAAATCTGATGCGATCTATACACCTGATCAATACACACAGATAATACGAAATCGGGACGGGATCAAAACTGACCAGTTTTATATCAGCGAGATGTAGGTCTTTTATCTCACTAACAAAACGGTATGAATCCTTTGTGTGTGTTCTGATATGCTATCTATGCCTATGCCCTCTTGACGGTGAGGGCATTTTTGCTAAGCGTTGAGCCAACGTATAAGTTGGTGAATCGATTTCGCTCACTATGGGTTGTAGTGGAGCGTTTGGCTTCTGTATATTCGGTAACCCATACTACCTCGGTGGTTTTATTTAATGTGTAGTGTTTGCGTAAATATAATACCTACATCATTACACCTTGATCAATTTTAAATCACGTCCAGTCAGTCAACGAAAGACGAAAGGTACCAAATAACCAAATAATTAAGTCTTATTTTTACAATCTAGTTATTTGTTTTGTACCAAAAATAAAGAAAGACCAACAATACTTGCGGCACTTACTCCATAATTATATCAAATTTTATTCTGTACAAAAATGGTGCTTGCGAAGACAAGCTCAGCGCCTCCTCAGACCTTGCACCTTAGGCGCCAGCCTGGTTAGCCTGTGGGTAAATTAGGCCCTGACGAAGCAACACGAATTCAAGGTCAGGGAAATGGTAACAGAAGAACGGAAGCTTCGTTATGGTTGTGTAACGGTAATCCCTTACACAAGCATGGAATGTCGAGATCACTTTAAATAGAAAAGCCTAGAGATTGGACCAGAACTCTTGAAACAGATTATATCGTGGAAGCAGCGATCTCCATATCTGATCACCATAACATACCGTCACGGATGACTGCATTTTGAGACATGATTTCTTAAAGAACCACCGTGTATTGTAGATATTGATCAAGGAGTGCAAAAATTTCCTGATCAAGTAGCATTTCCAAAAGCATCCAGCCCTTGCAAATTTTACTGTTTAAAGAATATTATGTTGGTACCAAGATCAGAAAATCTACTACTAGTAAACAATAAAACAGCCTAGTAAGAAATTTGAATATCAGCAATGAAGGTTCGGAAAGGTATGGAAAGAGGCAAGGAAAAACATAATTGGTGAAAACATCTTCTGCTAGTCTTCAAGAGAAGAAGAAGACAACTTCAAGAAAGAAACTACAGTGTTACACATTAGGAATTACTAGCTGCTGTAAAGACCTTGCGGCATTTCCGAAACTATTAGTGTTAATGAATAAGGTGATAAAACCTTTTATATAAATAAGTGAATCTTTTTAGAGTTGTGAGTCGACATTTACGAGATAGCAATCACCCCCATGTTTTCCATTAGCCACACTTGACCGACAGTAAAAGCATGGTCCTGAGCTACCTATAACCATCTACTTCCTGCATCTCTTACCATCACTCCATCTGGTGGGACACCATACACTTCACCTATGAGGATGGCGTTGAAGAACCTTTCTATCCCATCAATTGTCGGTTCTTTATGCTACCGGCTAGCCCATTGCCACTTTAGCTTAGCTTAGTTTAGTTTACGACAGACTGTTTTCCGCAACTTCACGTCTAAGCGCGTATTTTGCGTGTGGGCAGGTGGGCATGTGATTATTCGAGCCATGATATCTCCCCGAAGCAGTTCAACAGTCCTTTATGTTGCATGCAACTTTGGGGAGCGATCCCGGCGTATCGAGATGTTTAACCCTGTATGAAGCGACTTCTGGACATGTCAGCAACACATGAGCCGCCGTTCTTCCTCTCCCATGCATGCCCTGCACCGGGGGCTATCAGTAACACCTATGGTAAACAAATGTTTGTTAAAAGAGCCATGTCCTGTGATAGCACTTGTTACTAACCTAATCTGTGGCTTGTTCAAACTCATTAGAACCTTGGTTAGACAACTGTTTACTTCAGACAGGGCCTCCCTAGCTTGTCTACAGTCTACAAAATTTTTCCAAAGCTGAGCGTGTAAATTAATGAAGTATCTACATAACAGTGAACGAACGTAGATGTTATATATCACGGATTGTGATAAATAGTTGTGAATGTAGGTACTTGCATAACATTGTTAAGAAATAATGTTAGTTAAGGCAACTAGTTTGTCATTAGTGTTGCTACCTAGCACAATACACGTATTTACCTAAATTACGGTGTTTTATTGGATCTAACAGTGGCGACGTAGTGTAAAAAGTGAAACAATGGAACGTAAATCAGTGAAATTTAACGAATTTAATTTACAAAGTGATAATTGGGACAATTATATAGAACGATTAATGTACTGTTTTAAGGCGAATGGAATCGTCTCAGACGCGGTTCAAAGGGCGATTTTTTACACGGTTTGTGGTGCAAATGTATATGAGACTGTTTTGGCATTAATTACGCCTAAAAAATCTAGAGATGTGACATTCGCGGAAATTGTAACAATTCTTACGAAGCATTATAGTCCAAAACCAAACGAGATTTCAGTGTCTTTCCAATTTTATAAACGTGATCAAAAAGAGAATGAATCAGTATCAGAATATATTGCACATATTAGAAAAATAAGTGCGGGGTGCAATTTTACGGACTTGGAACGTATGCTTCGTGACAGACTTGTGTGCGTTATGAGTGATAAAAAATTGCAGTATGAATTGCTAAAAAAAGACAATTTACAGTATACGGATGTAGTGGATGCCATGCTATCATCTGAAAGTGCAGTGAGGGATGTTCGCATGATGCAAAGTGTGACCAGCACGAACTTTGCCATCTTCAGGGATTCAATTTCCACTACTTCACCGGTAACATCATCATGCGAGCCGATGGATGTCAATGCCACGAAATCTCAAAATAAAATTATAATCTGCTACCGATGTGGCGATCGTCATGGCGGTGTGTGTTTTCATAAATACTGTTTGTAATTATTGCAAGAAAAAGGGGCATATTGAAAAAATTTGCACAGCTAAAAAGAAAAGCTGTAGGGGCAATGTGAATTATACACAAGAGTTATATATATATTTAAATGGCATTTATAACTTGGACAGTTTGACTTCACGTGTACCGGCATATAGAATAACACTTCTATTGGATGGTGTGCCAGTGATCATGGAGGTGGACTCTGGGTCTGCTTTCTCAATTTTGAATGAACACACATGGATGCAGTTACACTCTAGAACTGTACTAGATATACTGCCCGATAAGTTACGTACGTGGAACAACTCCCCGGTATAAGTAATGGGACAAGCTACAGTGCAAGTGCATTTTAAAGACATTAAGTGTAATTTGAATATTGTTATAGCGAAAGCACGGGCCCTAATCTTATTGGTCGAAACTGGTTTAAAGCATTAGATATTACGTTAAATACTATTTATGTTATTGATATGACAGATATTGATAAAGTGCTTAATAAATATAATACAGTTTTCAGAGAAGGGCTTGGTACATATAGAGGGAACCCTGTGAACATACAAATTAAGCCTAACACTGTTCCTAAATTTTTAAAAGCACGACCAGTGCCATTCGCATTAAAAGAAAGGATTGAAAAGGAAATCGATCGTTTAGTGGGAGAGGGGATACTGCGCCCTTTATATTTTTCAGAATGGGCGACACCAGTAGTTGCTATAGTAAAGAAAAATGGAGACATACGACTTTGCGGAGACTATCGAAACACGGTGAATCAAGTTACTGAGTCGGATACATACCCAATGCCCACGGCTAGTGAAGTTTTTGCAGTTATTGCAGGTGCTCTTATTACACGACACTTGATTTAGACAGAGCACATACGCAAGTGGTGGTCACAGATGCCACAGCGAAGCTCTTAACTTTAAATACATGTAAAGGATTGTATGCCGTACATAGATTGGCATTCGGCGTGAAGGCGTGTCCGGGAATATTTCAACGCCTCATGACCGCACTACTAGCCGACGTACCAGGTGTAGCCGTGCTTATTGATATCATCATTAGCGGTCCCACATTGACAGAAATGACTCAACGTTACAGACGTTACAGTATTACGTTACAGTATTGGAGTGCATTGAAAGAGCAGGATTACTTCTTAATAAAGATAAATGTAAATTTGCTAAAAGACGCGTAGAATTTTTAGGTTTTGTAATCGATGCGGATGGTATTCATCCAGCTCCTTTGAGTATTAAACCAAAGGAGACGGCATCGCAAGGCAGACCCCTCTGTAAAAGGTGCGAGAGTCCGACTCATGCTCGTTATATAAAACTAGTTGCTCCGCGTCGTGCGTCATTCCAAATTGATCGTGCCATTAAATCGAGCTCCGACAAAATGCCGAATTGCAGTGTATTTACATGAAAAAAAGCAATGAAAAACATCAAGTATACAAAAGGACAATGTGACTTTTAATTTGTGAGTATTTTTAACATAATATTAAAGTAATTTTATCATTAAAACTCGTACTTTGTGAATATTATCATCCAATACCGAGTGTGGCCATCATAGTTCATAAAGTGAAAAATAATCTATTTTTAAATAACTATAGTTTACTACACAAGTTATATATATTAACGAATATATATTTCCTAATAACTAAATCAGTTTGTGATGAATAATAATCATTACATATAGATGTGTAGTGGATTTTTTTAAATGATTTATATATTCAGCTCAATTTCAACACGATACTGAATATTATACAATTAAATATAATCGATAACTAGTATTTTTTAAAATATTATACAAAATACAGGCCAAATAAGTCAAATCGAAACTTGCTACCTCGCAGCAAAAGTGTGTAATTTTTATAAAAATAAACTGGTATCCTGCAACCGAAAGTATTGCACTATAGTGATGAACGCCGCAACTTTAGCTATCGATAAGTTAATTAACCATGCGGGTTTGTCTGCCGAACCGGTTTGTAGTTTTTATTTAGGTTTTATAATAAAGTATTACAAAAAGTAGTAAATTTTTCTATTATTGGTTTGTTTTTACAGATTTCCAAGAGATCCTCTTAGGCGGCACACTTGGATTGTAGCTTGTAGAAACCATGAATCTGACACTGCAGTACCAATCTTGAACTTGTGGGAGATAATGTTTGGCTGTAATTATATTTAGATAAAATATTTTTACTATTAACTTTGACACCAATATTATTCTACTTGAAAATATTTTATTAAGTTTACAAAAGCATTAACCTATCAAATTTAATTCATATATTTATATAAATATTATTGTAATTGTAAACTTAATGTAGTATAATTTTTGTACGCCATAAATGGCAAAACATGTAGCTCGTTTTAAGTTTTTTAACACTTGTATTTTATATATATATATATATAAGCTTGAATCTTCTGACTAAAATAAAATTATTTATTTTAGGGTGATTGTGGTGATTGTGGTAATTGCACAATATCGTCTACATCGAAAAAAGAAAGCTGGATGTTCTGGCAAAATTCCATAAGTTATCTCGAAAGTCACAATTTGGAAAAAATCCTTAAATAGCCCGAACTAGTTCTACTTCCTGTGCGAGTACGAGCCAACACTTGGGCCAAGGAAAATTAAAATGAAAAAATGCCTTGACACAAAAAACAATAGCATAAACAGGCTCCACAAGTTTGCAAGAAATACTATGACATAACAATTAACTATTACTCACCAAAAGCTTATCGCTATGTACGTAAAACTTTTGGAACATGTTTGCCTGCACCACGTACATTGACTAAGTGGTACACTACCATCGATTGTCGACCAGGGTTTACTCAAGAAGACTGAGACTGACGCTGACGGCATTAAAATTCGGAGAGTAACCATGATAAAAAAAATATTATACCTTGGTAATGGATGAAATGAAAATTAAGCAATTGACAGAATACCATGCTAGTAGCTAAAGGCATTATGTATAAAACCAAAATGTCTTTTGGAACTTGCATGGTACTACGTCAATTGTTTTATTTTCATTTCATCTATCACTAATATACAATATAATTTCTTGTCAGGGTTACTCTCTAGTCTTAGTTTTAAAACAGTTAACGCTTTTTTTGTGTAGCCAAGTCGGCCATAAATTGTACTGTACCAATTTGTTATAGCATGTGATAAAGGCAG